GCCTCAGGGCCCCTCGGGCTCCGGTGCGCTCCCCTGCGCTCGTGCCCGTCCGAGCTCCTGCCGGGTCTCCTCCGGATGGCGGGGCTAACCCTGCGGCCCTGCTGGCAGCTAGCTGAAATGGGGTGACTGTAGGGGACACAGCCGGGTTGGAGTTCAGGAGGAAGTGCGAGTAAACAAATATTGCGCAACGCTCACCTGCTGAGGCGATTAGAGGTCCGACGGTGATTGCATGGGTACGCTCTGCAGCAGGCGCTGTCGCCTGTGGGCTTGCTTACTGCTACCTGCCTAGATCTGAGGAGAGGAACGCCAGGTTTCTGCAGTGCCCCATGCCTCTCCTTAGCCTTGCTGGAAGGATGGAAACACCTTCCGAGGTGCTGGAAGGGTCAGGTGTTCCACAGCCCTGGCCTGCATCACACCGAGTCCGCAACTGGCACTACAGACAACTTAGCTCGTGCCTGCTAATTCTTGATTGCTGTTGGCCCCTACCGTTCTGCTCTTCTGAGGTAGCCAGCGTGTTTTTTATGGCCAGGAGCCAGGGTGAATAAATCCAAAATAACTTAGCATCCAAACCAAACCAGAGTTTTTACGTAAGAGATGATATACGAGGGAGCCTACTGCTAGGGCTACTGTTGGCATTTGGTTAAAAAATACACTGCTGTATACAGGATTGTGCTACTGTGGCCCTGACTTTGGTGTTGTGTAGGGTGTCTCCAAGGGCCTGGATAGAGTTAGGTAGCTGAGGTGGGTGGTAATTATTTAAAATGCCTTGTTTCCCCCCCAGTTCATTGCCACCATTCTTAGGGCTCCCAGAGAGGAGCAATCTGCAGTGCTGTTTCGGAACTTCCCCAGGAGGGAAGAATGGTGACTAAGAGAGGAAAAGCCTGGCGGTTTCTGTCCAGCTGGCAACACTGAATTATGATTAAGATGAGCTTTATTGTTTCAACAGACCTTTTTTGTCATAACTGTTGTTAAGAAGATGAAGAAGTACCAAAGGCTAAAACAGCCTGGCTGAGGCCTTGCAGCTACTCTGGGCGTGGGACATACCGAGGAGGATTAATTCAGGAGCTGCGGACTCCTAGCCTGCAGTTCTCTGAACCACAGAAGCTGTTATTAGTGAAGAAATAGGGCTATTTTATAGAGCAGAATTTTTTTAATAAAAGCCTTTTGTTTAAGTTAGGTGCAGCAATGAGTGTGTAAATGTTCATTTAAACTGTCTCTGAGGATAACAGATAGGCACAGCTAGTGATATTAGCGCGGCAGAAGTTGGTACGCGTTCACAGGGGAGTGTGTTTTATCTTTGTGCTTTCAGTCCTGATGTGTGGGACCAGACACTGCACTGTTAGGACAGATCTAGCTGAAAAGTGAGTATTTTGCATGCCGGCCGTAAGAACTCCCTGGCTGACACCATTTAAAGCACAGCATTCCTCATAGCTGTTGTGTCTAGGGGAACGGGTATTTTTCAGGAGTTGGGTGCTGGTTTGTGTGTGCTGTTTCAGACCGTGTTTTATTGTCAGAATGAACTTGTGGTGCCGCAGCTGAGTGGGCCAGGTGGACCCAGGATCTTTCCTGCTGTAACAGATTTTCTGTGTATTTTTCTCTAGTGTGGTTGCTGAGAAATGGCCAATGAGAATCACGGAAGCCCTGCGGAGGAAGCGTCTCTCATGAGTCACTCACCTGGCACCTCCAACCAGAACCAGCCCAGCTCCCCCAAACCTATGCGACTGGTTCAGGACCTGCCAGGTACCGGCCCTGCTCTGGGGAAGGGCCGGCACAGAGTTCTGCGTAGCGGAGAGGAGGTGGCACGGGGCCGCCGAGGGAGGCTGGGAGTGCTGCGTGTTTCAGAGCATGCTGTGCCAGTAGTGGAGACCTGAAGGTCGGGTCTGTTGTTCAGTACTGCTCCTCTCCTGACTCTCACTGTCTTCTCAGATGAGCTGGTGCAGGCTGGCTGGGAGAAGTGCTGGAGCAAGCGAGAGAATCGCCCTTACTACTTCAATCGCTTCACTAACCAGTCTCTGTGGGAAATGCCTGTTCTGGGGCAGCACGATGTCATTGTAAGTAAGCACTCGCCTCGAGGGGCTGTGCCAGTACTGGGATATCTGCAGGGGCAGATGCAGTGGTCTTGCGGACCTGAGATCACATGTGTGGGAGGGTCTTCTCTGCCTTCAGAGCTCCTTGCCAAGTCCAGTGTCTGGCTCGGTCATGATGAAACATTCCTCCTTCAGGTGCACGCTCAGGTAGTGCTGTTCCAGGTGTAGGGCACTGCTCAAAGAACACTCGACCTGGGGGAGTTGTGTTGCGTTTTTTTCTTCTAAGTCTTAAAAACACCCACACAGTCACATGTCTGGAAGAGATTTTTTTTAGCTTTCTGCAGGTGTGAGCATTGGTGTCTTTATTTCCATCCATGTGGGAGCCTGGGGCAGTGAAATGGGAAGTCAAGAGGGTTTCTTGCCTTCATTTGGGACTCTGTGGTGGCAGTTGATGACCTGCATGCTGTTGTTGTTTGGACACTCACAGTCAGACCCTCTGGGATTGAATGCAGCTCCAATGCCACTGGAAGGTGGGATGATAGATACCTCTGTGGAGAACAAGCAGAGGAAGAGGAGATTCTCTGAGGAGGTTCCACCAAGCGGCAACAGTGTGAAGAAGCCCAAGGTGGGTCTGGTGCTGTGAAACACATAGGCCTAAGGATGGTGCTCAGACTGAAACCTAGGGGGTCTGGAGCTTGGGCCTGTATTTTTCGAACTGTGCAAGGTCAGGGCACGCTGCTATAACTCAAGCTGTGACAGCTGACACTCAGAAAGCACAGAAGTGGCAGCAGACTCGGGTCCTGCCAAGTTGACATTTGTCTCTTGCAGCCTGAGGTGGAGTGTGGGAGTTGGGAGGTAACGGATTATGACTGAGAAGCGTGGTAGCTTGCGTGTCCGTGTTAGCTTATGCCAACAGCAGGCAAAACATGCTCTGGCAATTCCTGGGGGTATCCGGAGTGGTGTGCTGGTGCAGGATTGTTAGGTGTATCGGGCCGCTTCCCCTTTGCCTTTCTCGGTGGGGCAGTAATTCACATTTTTTTTACATGCCCAGGTGGACATCCCGGGGAACCCAGCTGCTCAGCCAGTGCCCAGCTCTCCCAGTATTCCAGGAACCTCTGTTTTGAAGGCATGGTGTGTTTCACCCGAAGATAAACAGCAGGCAGCTCTTTTACGACCAACTGAGTGAGTCGTCTCCATTTGTTTTCTGTTCTTTTCTTGGTGGTACATAAGAGATACCTGGTTTTCCAGACGTCGTAGAATGGTTTGGGTTGGAAGGGACCTTTAAAGTCCATCCAGTCCAACCCCCCTGCAGTGAGCAGGGACATCTTTAACTGGATCAGGTTGCTCAGAGCCCCGTCCAACCTGGCCTGGAATGTTTCCAGGGATGAGGCATCTTCCATCTCTCTGGGCAACCTGTGCCAGTGTTTCACCACACTTCTTGTAAAAAATGTCTTCATTCTATCTAGACCAAATCTATCTTCTCTTAGTTTAAAACCGTTACCCCTTGTCCTGTCGCAGCAGGCCCTGCTGAAAGTTTGTCCCCATCTTTCTGATCAGCTGCGTTTAAGTACTGCAAGGCTGCAATAAGGTCTCCTCAGAGCCTTCACTTCTCCAGGCTGGAAGAACCTGAGGGACGTAACAGTCCCCCTGTACCTGTGCAAAGAGTCTTCATAGTTCAATTTCCTGGCTGGTCAAACAGCCCAAGGAAGCATCTTTAGAAGCAATATGCTCATGGCAGGGGAGTTGGAACCAGATGATCTTTAAGGTCCCTTCCAACCCTTACCATTCTATGATTCTATAATATTTGATAATTAGCCAATGATCCGGCCATCCTGATGACATCTGCTTCTGCCATAGAGTATATTGGGACCTGGATATTCAGACAAATGCAGTGATTAAGCAGAGAGCACCATCTGAAGTGCTTTCTCCACACCCCGAGGTGGAGCTGCTTCGATCCCAACTCATTCTCAAACTGCGGCAACATTACCGTGAGCTCTGCCAGCAGCGAGAAGGTAAGCTTCTGCTGGGCTCCCTTTATTTGTGTCGTCAGTCCTGTAATACTGTGGTATTCTTCCTGCTGGTTTATGGCTGTCTCATCCCTGTGAACACCTCTTTTTGTGGTGGTTGTAGTCTCTGTGGCATTGTTTGTAAACAATGAGTTTGTAAGCTCATTTGGTTCTGAACTCACTAAGCAGGACTCCAATGTGATGATCCTTATCGGAGCTTCTGGGCATCTCTTTATCGTGGATTAGACCCTTTTTTTCTGTGCTTCTCCAGGGATTGACCCTCCAAGGGAGTCCTTTAATCGCTGGATGTTGGAGAGGAAGGTGGTTGATAAAGGGACAGATCCTCTTCTACCTAGTGACTGCGAGCCAGTAGTGTCTCCTTCCATGTTCAGAGAGATCATGAATGACATTCCCATCAGGTACTGTTCGAAGATGGGGCACCTTACTGGCATGTTTTTGTCTTGGGCCAGTCCAGTGATTTACCTGCCACGGTTCTGTGCTTTTGTGTTTTACTGTCGCTGATGAAGTGGTAGGGTGCTGGGGACGTAAAGCTTGGGAACTGGACCTGGCCTCCATGTCTTCATGGCAGCTGTGGAACCGACACATGTGATTTTATGCTTTCCTCAGGTTATCCAGAATCAAGTTCCGGGAGGAAGCCAAGAGACTGCTCTTCAAGTATGCCGAGGCTGCAAAACGGCTGATTGAATCCAGGTGGGAGTTCCTCCTACAGTGCTGTCACGTTCAGAAACGAGAAAAAGGTTATAGGGACTTTTAGAATGGTCTGCTGCATCCCACCTTATTCAGCGTTGATCATCGTCTTACTGAGGAAAAGCAAGGTTAGGAATGTACAGAAGAAAAGCAATAGTGCTGGAGGTGTCTTTGGTAGTAATGTTAGAGTAAAATCTGATGTTGGGAAGCTGAATGTATGCGGAGACAAGTGAGAATCTGTGAAATGCTGTCGTAGAATGCCTTCTGCCGCTTATTCCCGAAATCATACAAGGATCCTTGGGCGGTCACTGCTGTTAAAGAGCAACAAGCCTAGAGCCGTATTTGATTATACAGCGTATGATTTTTCTGACAAGTTCTGCCACAGGACAGAATTGAGGAAGATAGCCTTGTGGGGAAAATAAAAAATGGGATGGAATATATTCCTGTGCAGCAATGGGTTGAATTTTGCTTGTCTGTTTTGTGCAGGAGTGCTTCACCAGACAGCAGGAAGGTGGTGAAGTGGAATGTGGAGGACACCTTCAGCTGGCTGCGACGGGACCATTCTGCCTCTAAGGAGGACTACATGGTCAGTGTCCCTCTGCTTGTGCAGCTGGGCGCAGGGAGCCTGGGAAAGGATGGGGAGCGTGTCTGGGGCCAGATAAAAGTCCTCCTGGAGAAGGCTGTAATTTTTTTTCCTTTGTGGAATGGGAGTGGCAGCGGCACGGAGTCTCTGCATACCTCTGAAGTCCAGTGGCGGGTTGTGTAAGGGACTCTCTGGTTCTGCAGGACCGCCTGGAGCACTTACGCAAGCAGTGTGGGCCCCACGTGTCTGCTGCAGCAAAGGACTCTGTTGAAGGCATCTGCAGTAAGATTTACTACATATCCCTTGAATACGTCAAGCGGATCCGGGAGAAGCATCTTGCCATCCTCAAAGAGAACAATATATCTGGTACGCAGTCAGCTCTGAAGAGCTATAGGGCTACATCCCTACAACATAAAGGCAATGCACTCTGGCCTGTCCCCATTCAAATAGCATTATCTGTCAGGAGGGCTGCCTTGAGTCCACAGGGTTGAATTTAATGGAGTCAGAAACAGCCAGCCGAGCTTAGGTCTTAGCTGACAGAGCCACACAGCGCCTATGCAGTGGCAAGGCGTCTTTCCATCAGGTACTGTACCAACTGTAGTATCAAATATCGTAAATGTATGGTTTGTCAGGATTAAGTTGCTTGTTGGGAGCTGACCACGCTGAGCAGGGTGTTAGTTCATTTCCCTGGACCATGTTTTTTTGCTCTGCTTCTTCATGAATTCCTGGGGACAGCTGACACTCCTTCCGAATGCTGAGCCCTCTTTCCTCCCTGTATTCTCTGCCACGTTTCTTGGGTTCTTAGTACCTTCTGCCCTCCTCTGCCTCCCAGCGCATCACTGTGCACCCTTCTTCCTTTCCCAGCAGAGGACTCATGTTCCTTGCTCTTTTTTCTGGTTTATTCCTTGCTTATGTCTTCTGCTTCTGGTCACCTTTTCCTTCTTCCATGGTCCCTGCTTCTTTCATCACCACCGTTCTGTTCATCCTTTTTGGGTCCTAGCTCTCCTCAGACTCCCTTCAGATCCCAGTGTCTGCCTCTTGCTGCTTGTTTTTGCAGCTTGTCTTCCCGCCGGTTGAATCTGTGATTCCTTCCGACTGATGTTTATCATGAGCTCTTTTTTTTCCTGGTGAAGCTGAGGCTAAGCTGCTGTCCGCAGTGGGTAACCACAAGGTGGCAGGAAGATGCCTTTCCCTCCTGTATTTGCCTGGGAATATTTATTGTGCTTTGGATGAGTTTGGGGCAAACTGGAATAATAACAGTAAGGAGAGTGTTTTACTCACCTGGAGCAAGTGCCATGATGCTGGAATGGTTGTGTGCAGGTCTGCTGTGTTAGAGATGGAGAAATACTGTGAGATGGTCCCCTCTATGCTCTGGCAGTGGGTGATGGAATTAGTGTGGGGAATCGGCTCTGAACCTAGGCAGCTGCCTACGAGGTCTGTGAAGGACCACCGCAGTGTGTTTGGGGTGACCTGTCTGCCCTTTAGCCCCATTCCTCTCACTGCATATTTTGAGGTGGAAGGAAGATCTGTCTCAAATGTCCTTGGATTCTGATGGGCTGCATTTCTGTTTGTTCTCTGTAGCTGAGGTGGAAGCTCCTGAAGTCCAGGACAGGCTCGTATACTGCTACCCAGTGAGACTGGCCATCCCCTCCCCACCACTCCCCAGCGTGGAAATGCACATGGAAAACAACGTGGCGTGTGTGCGGTACAAGGGGGAGATGGTGAAAGTGAGCCGCAACTACTTCAGCAAGCTGGTAAGGGCTGACCGCCAGTCCTGCGTGACTTGTCACAGACTGCTCTGTGGTGAGGGGTTTCGTTTCTCCACATCCTCCGAGAGCAGAGGGATGGAGTGCCGACCCGGCGGGGGCTGTCGGACGCTGCCCTGATAGCAGCGGGAATCAGGACAGCTGCTTTCGCCTTGCTCAGGGTCAGGCTTCTGCCGGCTACTTGCAGGGTGTTGCGTGTGTGCTTTGGAAACGTGCTGTGCTGCAAGAAGTGTCCTTGCAGCAAGGCAGCCCTTGCTCAGACACTTGCTGATGTGGCACGTTCATTCACGCTAGTGAAGAGCTTTGGTTCACTGCCACGGTGAGAGCGGATGCGCTGCAGAGCCTCCGTGCAGAGCCCCCCTGCTCCGGTTGCTGTCAGCGTCCCCTCCGTGTCGTGGTGGGTTGGGGTACTCTCTTGCCTGTGCTGATCGCGTTTGATGGCTGGGCTTTCCCTTCCAGTGGCTTCTCTACCGGTACAGCTGCATTGACGACTCTGGCTTTGAAAAGTTTCTGCCCAGGGTTTGGTGCCTTCTCCGCCGATACCAGGTACTGTCTCGTCACGGTTGTTGTACTTCAGAAAGCCTTAGTAATAGTGGGGGACTGAACTTCTTGTCTTTGCCCGGGGGGAGGTCCACAGCTCTGGGAGCCTGATGCAAAATAGGGCTGAAACTGGGTCCGTTGTCTGCTCCCGGGCTTTGGAGACAAGGCTGCAGCCTGGGGAGCAACTGTGATCTTGACAGGAGGTCTCAGAGGGGATAGAGATACATTTTTATGGAAGAAACCTCCAGTAGTTCTTGCCTGTGAGGGCCAGCTAAAGGGTTGTGGGGGATATATGTGAAAACTGACAGCTGGTTTGTGGGGCCTGAAGTGGATGAGATATCTAAAGAGCATTTCTTGGGTACATGCAGGGGACCTACATGAATTTGAGAAAGGACAAGGGGGCCCTGCATACCCAGAGGAGTGGGTGCGTGGACATGTGGCCCTGGGTCTGTGGTCAGTGAAGGGAGCAGCAGGAGCAGCAAGTGCAGGCGTGGCTCACCGGGGTTTGCTTTCCCCAGATGATGTTCGGTGTGGGTCTGTATGAAGGAACTGGTCTGCAGGGGGCACTTCCCGTGCACGTCTTCGAAGCCCTCCACAAGCTCTTTGGAGTGAGTTTTGAATGCTTTGCCTCGCCCCTGAACTGCTATTTTAAACAATACTGTTCGGCCTTCTTGGATACAGACGGGTATTTTGGATCCAGGGGGTGAGTCTTACGTTCCGGTGCCCTGGCTGTGTCTCTGGGGGGGTGCGTGCGCGTACGATGACTCAAGACAAGCTGACGAGTCTGTGCGTTCAGGGCTGTAGCCGGCTGTGTGGTGTCTGCTCAGTGATGTGTGCTTCAGGCTTGCCTAGAGGCAGTGAGTGGACACAGACTGGCGGTGAAACCGTCAGGAGTGTGCCGTCAGCCTAGCTGGAGCGCTCTGGTCCCTGGGGTACCGTAGAGTCACAGGGTGGTTTGGGTTGGAAGGGACCTTACAGATCATCCAGTTCCAACCCCCCTGCCCTGGGCAGGGACCCTCTCTA